GGTCCGGGCTGGGGATTCGAACCCGCCACCTTAGGTGTACATGGCTGGCGCCTTAGCCGGTTGAGCTATAGGCGCCGTGCCTGGATGTGTTCTTTATTTCCTTACACCTGCCACATTACCTGCCTGATTCCTGGAGGCATTTGAGTATGGAACTCTCTGGAAGGCGAGAATTCAGGTCCTTGGGAAAGAGACTTGCCCCAAATTTCACAATAACTGGCTTACTCAAAACCCAAAATGCAGACTTCCTGACACTGAGGCGCCATAGTGCCTGGAGATGAACAGCCACAGTCAGAGCAGTTTGTCCAAGTTTACAAAGAAGATCAGTGAAAGTGAGATCAGGGAGGTGGCGAGCAACATCCAGGAAGTAGCTGAGAAGTAAGAACTTTTGAAACAAATCAAGAGTTAAGAGCTGAGAGAATAACCTAAGTGTGAACTTTTAAGAGCTAGCTTTATTTGTTAAATGGAGGTGGGGTTCTCAAATCTCCCATCCCTTCCCTCCCTCTTACATCAACCCTGCATATCCTGCTCCGGCCACAAGGTGTCCCTCTTGTTTTTAACCATTATTTGATAGATTGTTTTCCAAAGAGTGGCAGAGAATTGACAGGAGAGTGAAGAGGTGAGAGTGCAACGTTTTCTTAAATTCTAGGCAGGTCACTAGGTTCAGGAATGTTTTGGGAGGAAGTTCAAGGTGGTAAAGGCTCAAGAAGGCTATTTTGGCAGGTGTGATGAGAATGGAAGAACAGCGTTTCAGATGCGTCACAGTCTCTCCACATAAAAAGCTTTGCCCATCTGATTTAGTTCCTGCTGGTACTGCTGGTGCTCCTTTTCCAACAGCTGGTGCATGGCAGCTTGACGGACCTGGTGGGAGGGCAGAATAAAGTGTGGTGTTTGCCCTGTCTTGACCACCTTTTCTCCTTCTCTCTCCATGGTTGCTTCTGTATCATGCCTGTTCTCTTGGACCTGGACGTAACTGTGACATAAAGTTAGGCAGAAGCAAAGAGACTGAACCAGTGGAGGAGAAGCCTATCCAAATTTTTTCTCTATGGGTGAAGCTGTACGTTCAGCAAATATTTGCTGAGAACTAATTATGAACCAGGAACTCTGCTACATACTGGGGGCACAAAGATGGTTGGCTATATGACAGCAATCGGGCACCCCAGGGAGAGAGAGCTACTGAGAGGCAGGTGCTGAGCATCCAGAGGGAGTTTTGAATCTCAACTAAGATGAAAAGAGTGGGGACTAGAAAAGACTTTGGAACTTTAAAATGTGCCACCTGGCCAGGTGTGGTGGCTCACGCCTGTTGTCCCAGCGCTGTGGGAGGCTGAGGTGGGTGGATCGCCTGAGCTCAGCTGAGTTCGAGACCAGCGTGAGGCAGAGTGAGCCAGAGTGAGACCTCGTCTCTACAGCAACAACAAGAAAACAGCTAGACCTTGTAATCCCAGCTACATGTGGGGCAAGAGAACACTACAGGAGGAAGAAGTAAAAAAAAAAAAAAAAAGAAATTAAAAAATAAAATTAAAATGTGCCACCTGCAAGCTGGATGTAAAGAATCATTTAATGAAAAAGAGCTTTGGTGTTTGAAGTTAGAGTTGTTCTGCTGTGAAAATCCCAGAGGCAAATGAGATGGGTAAGTAATGACAGAGACCAGAGGCTTGGAAATCTCAAGTGGGCAAAGGCACAGGGCAGTAATGAATAGAACTCACCACCAGCAGCTGCTTGTTGGCCTGTGTTGACTCCTGTGCCATGGTCTCCTGCATTCTTAGTGTGGCATATGGGTTTCTCCTCTGGTTCAATGTCATTTGCCACAGACAGTGAGTATGTGAATTTTGCCACCTGCCTCAGGTATATAGAGGTGAAGATTGAATGGGTTAGAGGGAGGAGTGGAGACAAAAACCCTGTGAGTGGGGCTGCTTCTTCACCCAGAATCTCTGTACCAATGTCAGAAGTTCCAGTAAGGGTAATTTAGAACGTACTATTTATGTTATGCCATTTAATCATTATAATAATCATGTAGCAGAGGCATGAATTTTTACATAATACAGTCAGGGAAATTTGTCAGTTGCCCAAGGTGACTTAGTGGCACACCTGGTTCTCAAATCTAATCTAAGAATAATGTTTCTTACATTATACCAATGATTTTCAACGATTGCTGGACACTGGAATCTTTAAGTTTTATACTTTTTAGAGACAGAGTCTTTTTTTTTTTAGAGACAGAGTTTCACTTTGTCACCCTCGGTAGAGTGCGCTGATGTCACAGCTCACAGCAACCTCCAGCTCTTGGGTTTAGGTGATTCTCTCTACTCAGCCTCCTGAATAGCTGGGACAACAGGCGCCCGTCACAATGCCTGGCTATTTTTTGTTGCCGTTTGGCTGGGGCCGGGTTTGAACCCGCCACCCTCAATTTATGGGACTGGCACCCTACTCACTGAGCCACAAGTGCTGCCCTAGAGACAGAGTCTTACTTTATCACCCTCGGTAGAGTGCAGTGGTGTCACAGCTCACAGTAACCTCTCACTCCTGGGCTTAGGTGATTGTCTTGCCTCAGCCTCCTGAGTTCCCTGGGACTACAGGCACCTGCCACAACGCCCGGCTATTTTTTTGTTGCAGTTTGGCTGGGGCCGGGTTTGAACCTACCAACCTCGGTATATGGGGCTGGCGCCCTACCCACTGAACCACAGGCACCGCCCTATTTTTTTATTCTTGAGACAGAGTCTCACTTTGTTCCCCTTAGTACTTTGTCACCCATGGTAGAGTGCAATGGCATTATAGCTCACAGCAACCTCAAACTCTTGGGCTCAAGCGATTCTCTTGCCTCAGCCTCCCAAATAGCTGGGACTACAAGTGCCCGCCATCACACACAGCTATTTTTAGAGACAGGGTCTTGCTCTGGCTTAGGCTGGTCTTGAACCTGTGAGCTTAGTCTCCCAGAGTGCTGGGATTATAGGAGTGAGCCACTGCACCTGGCTATTTTTAGAGACAGGGTCTCACTCTTGCTCAAGCTTGTCTCCAACTCCTGAGCTCAGGCAATCCATCTGCCTCAGCCTCCTAGAGTGCTAGGATTACAGGTGTGAGCCACCTTGCCCAGCCTTATTTTTTTCACATGATTAAGAAAATTTAACCCACAGAGAATATATTAAATGAAAAGTAAAAGCTCTACTCTGCCCCAGTCCTTCTTAACAAAGTTAGCTGTTTCCTGTGCAACCTTCCAGAAAATTTTTCTATCATTTACTAGCAAGTATATCTACTTTTTCTTAAACATGAGATCATACATTTACATAAGAAGCGTTACTTACCAATTTGGACTTTTCACGTTAGCACATACAGATTTTCTTCATTTGGTGTAAGAGGCTGAATAGTATTTTTGAATAATTTAACCAGATAGGTTTTCTAGCTTTTTTTTTCAGTTTTTTGGCCAGGGCTGGGTTTGAACCCGCTACCTCCAGCATATGGGGCCAGCGCCCTACCACTTTGAGCCACAGGCACTGCTCCGGTTTTCTAGCTTTTTTACTTTTTTTTTTTTTTTTTTTTTGAGACAGAGTCTCAGTCTGCTGCCCAGGCTAGAGTGCCCTGGCCTCAGCCTAGTTCACAGCAACCTCAAACTCTTGGGTTCAGAGATCCTCCAGCCTCAGTGTCCCAAGTAGCTGAGACTACAGGCAACCACCACAACACCTGGCTATTTTTGAAGAGATAGGGTCTCACTGTTGCTCAGACTGGTCTTGAACTCGTGAGCTCAAGGGATCCTTCTGCCTCAGCCTCCCCCAGTGCTATGATTACAGGTGTCAGCCATCTTGCCCAGCCATGAAGGCATTTTTATAAAAGTAAAAAAGCTAAAACTGGGCGCGGTGGCTCATGCCTGTAGTCCTAGCACTTGGGGAGGCTGTGGTGGGAGAATCCCTTGAGCTCACAAGTTCGAGACTAGCCTAAGCAAGAGTGAGACCCCATCTCTCCTAAAAATAGAAAAATTAGCTGGGTGTCATGGTGGTTGCCTGTAGTCCCAGTTACTTGGGAGGCTGAGGCTGGAGGCTCTCTTGAACCCAAGAGTTTGAAGTTGCTGTGAGGTAGGCTGAGGCCAGGGCACTCTAGCCTGGGCAACAGAGAGAGACTTTGTCTCAAAAATAAAAATGCTATCAAGAACATTCTTGTATACTCTCTAGTGTGCAAGTATACACTTGTATATGCAAGGTAAATGTCTAGAAGTAGAGTTCAAAGGATGTGTGCATTTACATTTTGATAGTTTCATCAAACTGCCTTTGTAAAAATGACTGCATTAACCTAGACTACTAAAATTATATGCTTGTTTTTTCACACCCTTGCTAGCTTTGAGTACAAAAACCTGTGAAATAGGCTTCTCTTATGCATCCCAGACTATTTTAATTGGAATCTCCTATGTTAAGACTTGGGTATTAATGTTTTAAAAAGCTCACTGGTAAAACACATATGCATCCTAACCTTTTAAGGCATCTCATTTATTCATTCATTCAGCCAATACTGCAATATGTACAAGATTAGTACCAAGCCAGGCAACAAATACTTGAATTCTTAAAAAACAGCAAAAGCTTGCTCTCATTTTTCCTTCAGTGAATGGGAAATGGGACGCAATAAACCATACAGTCTACACTGCCCAACCTAGTGGGCATTCAGAGGTTCACCTCTCCTTGCTTCAAGGACAAGACTGCTTTTTTCTTCTTTTTTTGCTACAGTCTTACTTGTAGCCCTCAGTAGAATGATGTGGTGTCACAGCTCACAGGAACCTGAAACTCTCGGGTTCAAGCGATTCTCTTGACTCAGCCTCCCAAGTAGCTGGGACTACAGGTGCCTGCTACAGTGCCCAGCTATTTTTAGAGATGCAGTCTCACTCTGGCTCAGGCTGGTCTCGAACCTGTGTTCTCAGGTGATCTCCCCATCTTGGCCAGAGTACTGGGATTCCAGGTGGGAGCCACCACATCTGGCACAAGACTGCTCTTTAACCCCTACGTTTTCCTTCTTGGTGAGCCCCTAATAATACAAAGCAGAGTTGGGAAGTTGCTCTGGGAGGACAAGGAAATAGGAAAGTCAAGCTCAAGATGAAAGGAGAGGCAAGAAGCAGAGATTACCTGTTGACCATCCTCTTAAGTCTTGTGGCCCTTTGAAAATTCTGCAAAAAAAGGGAGTTCTGTTGATCTGCCTTCATCTCCAGTAACTCACCCGTCTCCTAATTCTAGGGAGAGACACTGAGTCCTCTTTTCAGAGAAGCAGCCATTTTTCCAGGGTAGGTGGAGAGAAGAAAGCTCAAGAATGGATCAAAGGGTGGCACCTGTAGCTCAGTTGGCAAGGGCGCTGGCCATATACACCTAGGGTGGTGGGTTCGAACCTGGCCCAGGTCTACTAAGCAACAGACAACTCCAACCAAAAAATAGCCCAGTGCTAAGGCGGGCACCTGTAGTTCCAGCCACTTGGGAGGCTGAGGGAAGAGAATCGCTTAAGCCGGGAGTTGGAGGTTGCTGTGACCTGTGATGCCATGACACTCTATCCAGGGCAATGGCTTGAGACTGTCTCAAAAAAAAAAAAAAAAAAAAAAAGGATCAAAGAAAACACGCAGTTGGGATGAAATATATATTTGAATACCTACTATGTGCCAGTCTCCCACTCCTGTTACTAACTACAGTATATTCTTATTAGATCAAAAGCCTTTCCCAGTAAATTGATCTGGAAACCTCATCAAGGGACACTCCTCCACCCAACCCTGCCTTCCAGTTCTGCATACCTCTTCTACTTTTGTCATCTTTTCCACAGACATTATCTACAGACTTGCTTGATATGGTCTCAGGAGACTGGGTAGGCTCTCCCTTCTGTTTAGATCAGTCACCAAGGTTTTAGTAGTTATAGCAACATTTACATTTCCCACAATGACCTATGGGTTGATTGGTCACCTGGCCTGTTGCCCTGGAGACCCAGAGAATCCTAGTTTTGCAGCCTTCTGTAATTCTATGAGCAAAGGTTAGTCCCCATTTTGGAATTTCTTCTGGTGGGGTCCCAAAAGTATCTGCATAGTCCTATGTCCAGAGTATGCATACAGCTCCATTAACTCTCTGGAGGGAAATCTTCATGCCCCACCCTGTTAGAAATGTGCAGAGGTCATCTGCCTGCTTGATTAAAAGATAACTGTAAACGAATCAATCATATGCTTTACTTTTTAATAGTTCATTTTATTAATTTTAAAGTCAGACCATTGTTGCATTGGTTTGGGTACACCATTCCTTCCCATTGTCTCAAAGCCTGGCACCAGGTGCCTGAATATTCCCTTTTATGTATGACATGGCATGGGCATGAAAGTAGAAGGACAGACCCTTGCATGTTAGCAAAGCTGTGTTCATGTTTCAACACATCTTGGTTTAAGTGGAGCACCAGGGTTAAACTATTGCCACATACCACCCCATATCCCCGCCAGTTTCTGTCTGCCTTTTCCACCAATCAAACCTGAGGTGCCCTAACACTCAAACAGTTTCCATTTAACCATGTATGAAGGGGTAGACAGAGAAAGCATCCTTCTCCAATTGTCACTTATGGGATTCAAAAGCCTGACACAGGGTATGGAACTATGGCTAAAACCTAGTGAGGATTTTTAAGGAGGTTTAGACAGAAACACGGAGAATAACATTTGAATTCAAATCTTTAAAAAAATGCTATTGGAGAAAAATAAAGTCTTAGCTAGTGTTCTGAAAATGCCTGTATGGAATTGGGAATGACTGTCTAGGCAAAAGGTCTAAGAACTCTGGACACAATGGGAACCTCAGCTGACATAGTTTGGGTCTGCTGAGCCAGATGTCCTGAGGGCTCCCAGCAAGTAGCCTGTCTGGCATACTGCAGCTGTCTGGTTCAGTCTGCAGTGAGAGTCCTTCAGTTCCATCACAAAGTACTTTCCAAGGTGTTATAGTTATCCTTAAAGCTCTTCAATTCGAGGAAGTGTTTAGCACGTTTACTCTTCTGACTGGAGGGGAGGTATGTCACCTGGATGGTTGTTGGGGAGACTTCAGGGGACTGAGTTAGGTCTTTGGCTGCTGATTGGTGTTGTCGCTGAGAGCTCCCAATTCGTGCTTTGACCCTGAAGAATACAGAAGGGAGGTCATAGATAGAATGAGGACTAATGAAAGAAAATAATTCAGGGCTTATCCTATCCCATAAATACAATGGTAGCCATAATGGTCTTTGTCCTCTCTTATAAACTAGTTACTAAAATCCCATCTGGTACCTTAGTAATAGAGGGCGGCACCTGTGGCTCAGTGGGTACGGTATCAGCCCCATATACTGAGGTTGGTGGATTCAAACCTGGCCCTGGCCAAACTACAACAAAAAAATAGCCAGGCGTTGTGGTGGGCACCCGTAGTCCCAGCTACTCAGGAAGCTGAGGCAAGAGAATTGCCTAAGCCCAAGAGCTGGAGGTTGCTGTAAGCTGTGATGCCATAGCACTCTACTGAGGGTGATAAAGTGATACTCTGTCTCTACAAAAAAAAAGAGAAGAAATAACTGAGAAACCAATTTCCCACTTAGAACTCTGGCTTAAGCTTTTCTTTATCTCACTAAGCGTAAAGAAAAATTTTATCTTTGCCTGATTCACCCAATGTGTACATGCAGTAAACACAGTAAAAAATTGACAAGGACGGCTCGGTACCTATAGCTCAGCAGCTAAGGCGCCAGCCACAGATACTGGAGCTGCCAAACAACAATGACAATTCCAACAAAAAAATAGCTAGGCCTTATGGCAGGTGCCTGTAGTCCCAGCTACTTGGGAGGCTGAGGAAAGAATCACGTAAGCCCGAGAGTTGGAGGCTGCTGTGAGTTGTGATGTCACAGCACTCTACGGAGGGCAACATAGTGAGATGCTGTGTAAAAAAAAAAAAAAAAAAAAAAGAGGAGGAGCTATTGGGTACTTGCTATATGTAAGCACTCGGTGCTCTCCCAACATTTAACTACCCAGCATCCCTGCACAAGGCAATGGACCTGTGTTGCAGGTCAGAAAACTGGCTGGGGCTGGGTTTAAACCCATCATCCTTGGTATATGGGGCTAGTGCCCTACTTGCTGAGCCATAGGCGCTGCCCGATTAATATCTGTCTTTCAAAGAGATAGAATTTCAAACTGGCTTCATGCCAATGTCCAGCCCCAATATCCTTTTCTAGCCACTCTACATTTTCATTACTGTTCTAAGCAGTTTTTACGAGGACTTCTTGTCTTTAAGAACAAGGTAGCTAGGGTGGGCAAGATGGCTCATGCCTGTAATCCCAGTGTTCTGGGAGGCTGAGGCAGCGGATTGCCTTAACTCACAGGTACAAGACCAGCCTGAGCAAGAGCAAGACTATCTCTAAAAATAGCCAGGCATTGTGGCAGACACCTGTAGTCCCAGCTACTTGGGAGACTGAGGCAAGAGCATCACTTGAGCCCAGGAGTTTAGGGTTGCTGTGAGCTGCGACACCACAGTACTCTACCAAGGGCGACAAAGTGAGATGCTGTCTCAAACAACAACAAAGAAAGAACAAGGCAGCTAATTTCTATGGAGAGATGTCAGGATAGATAATACCCCTTACCTCTTGAGGAAGAGTCATGTTCAACACAGTAGAAAACAGAAGTATTCTTTTTATGGCTGACAACTAATTTTTTAGTCTAGAATGGCGTCCCCTTTTTTACCAAGAACTTTAATTTTACCATTTATATAAAATAACAAAACTATATTTAATACATGTGTAACACTGCCAAACAAAAGCCATGATTCCTCTCCTATAAATACTTGGGGAGGAGAGAGGGGGATTGGTGTGCTCTCACCTAATGGGCACAATGTAAGAATGTATGGCACACCTCGGTGTGGGAGACAAGTACAACAGGGACTCTGTGTAACAAATGCAAACAATGTAACCTGTTGGTATCCTCATATTAATCTGAAAAAAAAAAAAAATAAATGCTCGACAGCTGATCCCTGGAGTGATCCCAAAGCAGGGGACAGCTTGAGGCCAGGAGTTTGAGACCAGTCTGGGAAACAAAGTGAGTGCCTATCTCTACAAAACTTAGAAAAATTAGCTGGGGTTGGTAGCATATGCCTGCAGTCCTAGCTAATTGGGAGTCTGAGGCAAGAAGGATCACTTGAACCTAGGAGTTTGATGTTACAGTGAACTATGATTGGACTGTACCACTGCACTCCAGTGTGGGTTAACAGTGAGACTCCCTACCTCCAAAAACCAAAAACCAAAAAATCCACATAAAAGATGAAGCTTAAAAAAAAAAAAATAGGGGAAAGTGTGAACGCAGTCTCCCACTACCACAAATTATGCAGTCGAGTTTCCCACATTTGGGGAAATTGCAGGGGTCAGAACATCCAGAGTGTAATGGATAAGCCTTGCCCTGGGAAAACCACCTTCATGATCATGGTATCTCCCCTGCCAGGTAAGTATAAAGTTTTTTTTTTTTTGAGACAGAGTCTCACTAAAGTCGCCTTCAGTAGAGTGCTGTGGTATCACAGCCCACAGCAACCTTTAACTCTTTGGGCTTAAGTGATTCTCTTGCCTCAGCCTCCCCAGTAGCTGGGACTACAGGTGCCCGCCACAACACCCAGCCATTTTTTTGTTGTAGTTGTCAATTGTTGTTTAGCAGGCTTAAGCCAGGTTCAAACCCACCAACTCAGGTGTGTATAGCTGGCACCCTAACCACTGAGCTACAGGTGCCGAACCAGAAGCTTCTCTCATTAACTTGTGTAATATAGTCAGGCATTGTGGTAGGTGTCTGTAGTCCTAGCTACAAGGGAGGCTGAGGCAAGAGCTTAAACCAAAGAGTTTGAGGTTGCTGTGAGCTGTGATGCCACAGCACTCTACCGAGGACAACAAAGTAAGACTGTCTCAAAAAAACAAACAAAAAGAAACTTGTATAATAGTACCTACTTCCTAATGTGAACAAGAGGCAGTTCTAATAGGTTACAACAGGGATTTTCAACCAGTGAGCCTTGGCACACATGAAAGAATCCTAGGTATATGCCATGAAAATTTTTTTTGAGACAGAACCTCAAGCTGTCACCCTGGGTAGAGTGCCGTGGCATCTCAGCTTACAGCAACCTCCAACTCCTGGGCTCAAGTGAGTCTCCTGCCTCTGCCTCTCAAGTAGCTGGGACTACAGGTGCCCACCACAACGCCCGGTTCTTTTTTGGTTGCAGCCGTCATTGTTGTTTGGTGGGCCTGAGCTGGATTCAAACCTGCCAGGTTAGGTGTATGTGGCTGGTGCCTTAGCCACTTGAGCCACAGGCCCCAAGCCTGCCGTGAAAATTTTTAAAGATCACTAAATTACTTTTAAAAGAAGTTCAAAGCACAGGGTGGCGCCTGTGGCTCAAGGATTAGGGTGCCAGCCCCATATACTGGGGGTGGCAGGTTCAAGCCCGGCCCCAGCCAGCACAGTACATGTATCTTTTTTTTTTTTTTTTTCCAGATCAACACAATTTAAATGTGCCATGGACATTTAACTACAGGTTTAAGCCTGCTGTGAGAGTTTTAAAAAGTTGAAAAACACTGGTTTAGAAGGTGACAACTTTTTTTTTTTGAGACAGTCTCACTCTGTTGCCCAGGCTAAAGTGCTGTGCCCTTAGCCTAGCTCACAACAACCTCAAACACCTGGGCTTAAGTGATTCTCCTGCCTCAGCTTTCCGAGTAGCTGGGGCTATAGGCACCTGGGCTAGTTTTTATATTTTTAGTAGTGACAGGGTCTCACCCTTGCTTAGGGTGGTCTTGAAGTCTTAAGCTCAAGCAATTCATGCATTTTGGCCTCCCAGAGTGGTGGGATTATAGGTGTGAGCCACAGCGCCTGGCCAAACCCATCAACTCCTATGGTGTCATGGCTTTTGCTCACATTGCTTTATGAAGATCTCTCTACTGGGGGATAGCACAGCACCACTGTACTCGCTAACCAGCCTCCTTTGACATGTTCCCCTCCAAACTCACACAGTGGCCAGCTCACTCAGGGCCTCCTGATAGCGCAGGTATTCATTCTGACCAAAGACCTTAGGAAAGAGAAAGGAAACGTAAAGATCTCTCAGTCTGGAGCATCCTTTAGCTCTATGATGTAAAAACTGGCCACCCAGCTTACCCCTGTCCCATAGCGGGCTGTTTCATAGCCATCTAGCAGGGTATCAATGAGGGCTTTGCGCACACCCTTGAAGGGAGTACTAGTGTTTCGCAGATCTAGCAGGTAGGAGCAGAAGTTCTTGCCCATTAAGGAACAAGGATGCCGGCCATCAGCATGAAATGGGATCTCTGAGGAAAGAATACATGGTAGTACAATTATAACCCTTCTTCCATTGTTTAGTCTTTCTAGTTAATTTCCCAAATTTAGAAAAGTGGTTTGAGTCAGAGGGGATTCTGATAGAATTAAGATGAAAAGTAGGGCTGTGCCTTAGAGATCATTTGGTGGTGGCAATACAACTTTAAGCTGTGCTAGTGAGACATGATTGTGTCATACTTTTTACCACCCTACTGAACCAATTCTGAAGATATAAACAATGTTTTAGTAAAGATAGTGCATATATGACAAGTGGTCATAGGATGGAAAAAATTCAAGAACCATCTATCTTGTGCTTAGTGAAAAAAGATGTCACCTGTTATTTGTGGAAAACAGGCAAATTACCACCATCAAATTCATCAAACTAAAGGCTTCAAAAGAAGAACCTAAAAAACAAAACACTGGCTTGGTGCCTGTGGCTCAAGTGGCTGGGGTGCCAAGCCACGTACACCCAAGGTGGTGGGTTCGAATCCAGCCCCAGCCCACCAAACGACGACGGCTGCAACCAAAAAAAAAAAAAAAAAATAACCGGGCATCGTGGCGGGTGCCTGTGGTCCCAGCTACTTGGGAGGCTGAGGCAGGAGACTCGCTTGAGCCCAGGAGTGGGAGGTTGCTATGAGCTGAGATGCCACGGCACTCTACCCAGGGGGACAGCTTGAGGCTCCTGTCTCAAAAAAAAACCACCCAGACTCTTTGGAGAATAACCTGCTTACCTGATTTTTTTGGCAAAGCAACAGTACTCTCAAAACTTTAGGAAATTCCTACCAGCCAAGGATGTGCAGAAAGGACAAATCGTAACATGTAAAGTGGGTCATCACTATTCCCCTGGTGGGCTTTCAGCATCCTAGAGTGGACCCTGTCAGGCAGTCCTTACCAGAGGCACGAATGGCATCCAGAGCTTTCATCCTGTATAGATAGTTGTAGCAATCTGTTGAGAAAAAGACTGGTATCAGGCATAACCCTCAAATAATCCCCAAACTCCAATAAGCTAATAAACTGCCTCCCTGCATCTGGCATCTATCCAGTGATAGGAATAACTGAGGCTGTGTCAGAAGCTGCAAAAGGAATTCTGAACTCCTGAAACTTCTCACTGAAGTGTCCTATAAGACGCTGCCACATACTTTGATTTCCCTGGGTCTCCAGTTGCAGCAGCCTAGCATCATCACTTCCAAGGAGTTGGGGTTCATACTTGATATCCTGAACCCTGGACAGTCGAATATCAATCTCCTCTTTCAAGTCCTATTCACAGAGAGAAAACAATATACAATCACTTATCCTGCACTCTGCTCCTTACCACTCTGGAAAATGGGGCATGATAAGCAAACAAAACAATATAAGCACCAGAAAATGTCCTTGTAGGTAATAAAACTGCCAGATTAAGACATAAGAATTCAGGAAAAAATGGGACTGGGTTCTCTAATAACCTATGCAACTCTCAGCTAGATCTTTTAACTTGCCAGAATTCCTTGAAGCTCTATAGTGTGAATATTATTTGATTTTAAACTGGACTTAGCAGAAGCTTGGTTAGGTGATACAAAGAACTTCATGAGTTGGAAAAAAATGGACACCAACTGAATTCATAATCTATTCTAGAATTCTGTAAGGAGGCCTGTATTCAGTCTTTAATAGTTTGGAGACTTTACCACTATAACACTTCCAAAGGCTAATTAAAAAAATTAAAGTGTATTTAACTTTTTTTTTTTTTTTTGCAGTTTTGGTTGGGGCTGGGTTTGAACCCACCACCTCCAGTACATGGGGCTGGCGCCCCACTCCTTTGACCCACAGGTGCCTGCCCCATATACCAAGGGTGATGGGTTCAAACCTGGCCCCAGCCAAACTGCAACAAAAAAATAGCTAGGTGTTGTGGTGGGTGCCTGTAGTCCCAATTACAGGGGAGGCTGAGGCAAGAGAATCGCCTAAGCACATGAGTCGGAGGTTGCTATGAGCTGTGTGACACCACAGTACTCTAACCATGGGCAATAAAGTGAAATTCTGTCTCTACCGAAAAAAAAAAAACCCAGGTAATTCACATCCATGGTATAAAGCAGGGGGTCCTCAGACTTTTTGAATAGGGGGCTGGTTCACTGGCAGGTCCTGGGACGAGTTGGCTGCTAAGCAGGACAGGCAGCGGTGGCAAAAACACCCGGTGGGCCAGATAAATGTCCTCGGCAGGCCGGGCCGCAGTTTAAGGACAGGTGGTATAAAGTTTAAAAAGATACTCACTTATCCAGAAGCAACCACTATTATCAGTTTCATGGCCAGCCCACAGAAATAATTTTGTTGTAACTTTTTAGAAACTTCTACTGTGAAATATATCACACACATTAGACAGACAATATGTATGTACATTTAAAACAATTATAAATATCATTAAGATGAACATCTGAGTTCAATGTCTAGTTTACGAAATTGTGTATTCCAATACCTTTGAAGTCCTGTGTGCCTCATCTCTACTGAATGCCCCCTATTCAAAAGCTAAACTTGCCAATAGTCCTTTTACTCTTTATTGTTTTATCACATCACCCTAAACAAGTTTAGCTTTTCCTGATTTTGAACTTTATGCAAATGGAAAAATACCATATGAATTCTGCAATGTTTCTTAAACAGATAGCTTTGACAAATATACCCTTTCGACCACTATCTCAATCAAAATAAATATTTCCATCACCCCAAAATGTTCTCCCTGTACGCCTTTGTGTGTGATCTCCTTATCTCAGTCCTACGCAACATGATGTGCTCTCTTCTATAGCTTTGCCTGTTATAGAATTTCATACAAATGGAATGGAATCATATGGCACATATTTTTTTGTGAATGCCTTTCTGGCTTTTTCCACCCAGGATGTTTTTGAGATTCATTCATGTTTGCAATTTACTTTTTTCATTTTGGAGACAGTCTCATTTTGTCACCCTCAGTAGGGTGCAGTGGCATCACAGCTCACAGCAACCTCTAGCTCTTGAGCTTAGGTAATTCTCTTGCCTCAACTCTCCTAAGCTGGAACTACAGGCACCCACCATAATGCCCAGCTATTTTTTGTTGCAGTTTGGCCGGGGACAGGTTCGAACCCTCCACCCTTGGAATATGGGGCCAGCGCCCTACTGAGTCACAGGTGTCACCTCATTCAAAAATATTTTGAAGATTCATTTGTTCTTATATATAATTTTTTTGAGACAGAGCCTCAAGCTATCACCCTGGGTAGAGTACTGTGGCATCATAGCTCACAGCAACCTCCAACTCCTAGGCTTAAGTGATTCTTTTGCCTCAGACTCCCAGGTAGCTGAGACTACAGGCGCTGGCCACAAGGCCCAGCTATTTTTTGGTTGTAGCTGTCATTGTTTGGCAGGCCCAGGCCAGATTCAAAACCGCCAGCTCTGGTGTATGTGGCTGGCGCCTTAGCTGCTTGAGCTACAGGCGCCATCCTGTTTTCATATATTTATCTCCATTTTATTTTCATTCCTTAGAGTATTCTACATACCCATTTAAAATTGGACAATGGATTAAATTAAAAAAAATTCTTTATATAAGGCCAGGCATAGTGGCTCCCAACTGTAATCCTAACACTCTTGGAGGTAGAGACAGGTGAACTGCTTGAGCTCAGGAATTTGACAGCAGCCTGAGCAAGAGACCCTATCTCTATTAAAAATGAAAAAACTGGCTTGGCGCCTATAGCTCAACTGGCTAAGGCGCCAGCCATGTACACCTAAGGTGGTGGGTTTGGATCCCCAGCCCGGACCCGCCAAACAACAATGACGGCTGCAACCAAAAAATAGCCGGGCGTTGTGGCGGGCGCCTATGGTCCCAGCTACTTGGGAGGTGGGGGCAGGAGACTCGCTTGAGCCCAGGAGTTGGAGGTTGCTGTGAGCTGTAATGCCATGGCACTCTGCCCAGGGGGACAGCTTGAGGCTCTGTCTCAAAAAAAAAAAAAAAAGAAAAAACTAGCCAAGTGTAGTGGTGTATGGCCTGTAGTCCAGCTATTTGGGAGGCTGAGGCAAGTGGATTGTTCAAACCCAAAAGTTTGAGGTTGCTGTGAGCCATGGCACTCTACCCAGGGCGACAAGAGTGAGACAGAACAAAAATTTGTAGCGATGAGGGTGTGTCTTATTACACTGCTTGGGCTGGCCTCAAGTTTCCCACCGTACTGGGATTACAGGTGTGAGCTGCCTCACCCAGCTGAAGTTACTCTTAAATATTAATGATGCTATGAATATCCCCAAATATGTCTCCTGATATACATGAACAAAAAGTAACTTCTCTGTGGTAAGAAACAAACTGCAAGATCACAGATTAAGTACATGTACACTCTTAGTAGACAATGCCCAGTTACACTCTAAAGCAGTTGTACTAATTTACTAACCCACTAGCAATAGGTGAAAATTTAGATGAGTTTTTAAAAGGAATCTTGATCTCATATAGCTCAGGGGGCCCTTAAACAGCTGAAATTTTGATTGGTTCACAATGTGCTAAAAAAACGAACCCTATGTCCCCCTCTGAAGTTTCAGGCCATGAGATCCTTCTTGAATGTTTCCACGTAAGGAAAAGTTAATAACACTAGTTAAAGAAAGAACACTGCTCTAGTACACTAGTTCTAGCTTTCTAATTTTTTTTTCCCCCCGAGACAGAGTCTTCACCTTGACTAGGGTGCCACTGCAGTGGGCAGGTAAACAAAGTCTCAGAGCTCATAGCAACCCCAAACTCTTGGGCTCAAGCTATCCTCTTGCCTCAGCATCCTGAGTAGGTGGGACTACAGGTGCTCACTACCTTGCCTACTTTTTTTTTTTTTTTTTGTAGAGACAAGAGTCCCTTTTATCGCCCTCAGAAGAGTGCTGTGACATCACAGCTCATAGCAACCTCCAACTCCTGGGCTTAGGTGATTCTCTTGCCTCAGCCTCCTGAGTAGCTGGGACCATAGGCGCCCACTACAAGGCCTAGCTATCTTTTGCAGTTTGGCCAGGGTGGGGTTCTAACCTGCCACCCTCAGTATATGGGGCCAGTGCCCTACCCACTGAGCCATAGGCGCCACCCTGCCTATTTTATTTTTGGTAGAGAAGGGGTCTTGTTCTTGTTCAGGCTGGTGTCAAACTCCTGAACTCAAGCAATTTACCTGCCTTGGACTCCCAGAGTGCTAGGACTGCAGGTACAAGACACCAAGAGGCCTGCAATAAGCACACAGATAAACATAAATGTAAAATTATGGTAAATACAATGAAGAAAAAAATCAGGGTACCATGAGACCAGAGACCAACTTTAAAATAGGTAATAAGCTGACTTTTGTGAAAACGTAACTTTCTGCTAAGATCTAAAGAATGGATGAGCTATCTATCTGAGGGGAGACCATTCCAGGTCCCAATAGCAAAGGTGGGAAATTCAACCAGTAAAGCTAGATCCCAAGAGTCAAGGGAAAGCCATATAGGTAGTGCAAGGAAGCTGGTAATAGCAGTATGTATCATTTACTAAAAAGTGAAAGACTGAAGCAGCAGAATGGTGGTGGCAGGTGAGTATCCAGAGTTTACCATGCCTGCTAAATGAAAATATCAAACAGGCAGTTGGATGTAGAAGAATGAACTTGAGAAGGAGGTCTGAAGTAGAAATCAATTTCATGTGTAGACACTTAAAGCTAAGGAAAGGGCAAGGTACAGTGGATCACATCTGTAGTCTCAGCTACTTGGAAGGCTGAAGCTGGAGGATTGCTTGAGCCCAGGAGTTTGGGGCTGCAGTTAACTATAATCATGCCACTGCACTCCAGCCTGTAACAGGAAGGAAGGCAATCATCTAATGAGAAAGTATAGACAAAGGTAAGTTGCTTCCTTTTCATGGGCATGGATACAACAGTGGAATCAGATAACAAAGACTCTTACAAGGTGGTGCCTGTGGCACCAGCCCCATATACTGAGGGTGGCAGGTTCAAACGTGGTTCTGGCCAAAAGGCAACAAAAAATAGGGCAGGCGTTATGGAGAGTGCCTGTAGTCCCAGCTACTCAGAGGCTGAGGTAAGAGAACTGCCTAAGCCCAGGAGTTGGAGGTTGCTGTGAGCTGTGATGACACAGCACTTTACCCAGGGTGATGAGGTGAGAATCTGTCTAAAAAAAAAAAAAAAAGACTCTTACATGTACCTGAGCTGGCAGGTGCCCGGGCCCACCAAACCACCATGGCTGCAACCAAATGTTTTAGCAGGTAAACCAAAAATAGCACCTGTGGTCCCAGCTACTTGGGAAACGGAGGCAGAATTGCTTGAGCCCAGGAGTTGAAGGTTACTGTGAGCTGTGATGCCATGGCACTCTAAGGGCGACAGCTTGAGGCTCTGTCTCAAAAAAAAAAAAATTAAAAGACAAAAGTTTTGCAAAGGCAACCTTTTCATTGTTCTGGGGATAACTGTACCTCAACCCTATTTTTTTGGAGGGGGGGAGGTTATTGAATTTTAGTTTGTTGCCCTTGGTAGAGTGTGGCCACAATGCCTGGCTATTTACAGATAAGGTCTTGCTCTTGTTCAGGCTTGTCTCCAACTCATGAGCTCAGGTAATCCACCCACCTAGGCCTCCCAGAGTGCTATGATTATGGCCTCAGCGCCCAGTCCCTCACGGAAATTAAAGTCATTTCTAAAGACAAAAAATCTCATTCTTGTCCCTAAAATGATACGGACAAAAAACTAGGTTTATTTCGTACCCTAACGACCTACCTTGGGGGCATTGTGTCCCACAGGGACATGAGGTCCCCTTCTAGATTTCATTGCAAAGCGCATGATTTGCCTCTTCACAAAAATAAATAGCAGTACAAACACCTGTCCAAAAGATATAAAGAATCTTTAATTAAAAAATTAAAAAAAAAAGCATGCCTTCATTCCAAATCCTCAGATTGAGGCTTTCAGGGATGCGTTTGGGGTGAAACTTGGGGCAAAGCAAGGTGGTCGAGACAGGTGCAGGTCAGGGAAGCAGCAGCAGGGAGACCTGGGGTCTGTACCCCAGGATTCAGGGGGAGGGCTCTCCTCGGGGCAGGGTCGGAGAGTTAAGTTCACATCTACGCCTAAGATGGGAATTAAAACCCCAAAACACTGAGTAGGTGGAGAATGAAGTCATGGAACAGCTCAGGAGGAGGATCTCTACTGGGTCATATGCGACAGCAGGAACAGGGTGGGGGGGGTCTCCTCACCAGGCTCCCGTAGGCCATCACCAGCACGACATTCACCCCGGACAGCCAGTTACTGCCGGACGCCATAACCTCCCTACCTCGCGCAGAACGCTCGGATTTACCCCGCTGCCCTGCCTCCTCAGCCCGGGCTCCGCAGAAGCGACGGCGCCTGGGTTTCCTGGAGCTCCCGGGCCATTTCCTTAGAGGGGAAGACTAAGACAGACCCGGCCTGAAAACATGGCGCACGGGAGCTAATAAAGGAGCACGACGCCTGCCCGCTTTCCCCCTCGGCACGTGACCAAAGGGGGTTCCGGCACCTCAGAACCGCGAGCGCGGAGAAGCGGAACTACGCCAGGAAGAGGAAGAGGCGGCCGCAGCGCGTCACGTGGCGGAGGCGGGGCCGTCGTGGATGAGGCGGGTGGACTGGCGGAGCCGGAAAGAGGTGTCTCGTGGCAAGGCGGCACGCGCCCGCTTGCGTGCGCGTCCCTTTTACGTCACGTACCGGGGGACGCAGGAAGGTAAGTGGGAGGGGGAAGGCGCGAGAGCGAGCGCTAGATGGAAAAGGAGGGAGGGGGTGGGGAGGAGGGAATCTTATATCACGTGACAGGGGCGGCGCTGCCCGGGGTGTCAGTGTGGAGGAGACTGAGGTAAAGTTGGGAGCGCAGCGGCGTTGGCGGCGGCGGCGGTGGCAGCGGCAGCGCGGCGGGGCCGGGTATTGTCCGCGGCCCCTTTAAATCCGCGATCTCCCTTTTACCCTCCCTTCTTTCCCCCTGCCCCCGCCGTGTCCCCTCCCTCGGTAGGCCCCTCCGCTCCGCGTTCCCCCGTTGTACACCCCCCCTCCTAGTTAAGCGAGCTTTGGCGCCCCCCTCGAGTTGGCCGCCCGAGGTTTTGTTTATGGCTGAGTTCGCGGCCTAGTGGGCCGCGCCTGAGCCGGGGCCTCGATTTGGGAGCGTGGCCGGGGCGGGGCTTGGGGCGGCCGTGGGGGGGGGGCATGCGGCTAGAGCCTGAGGGGGGAGAGCGAGCGAGCGAGCGCGAGCGAGCGCGGCCTGGGCTCTGCCCGAGGTAGGGTCTCTCCACCCCGGCCGCTGCGGGTGGGCAGGGAGAGGGCCGGGCTTCTCTCCAGCCCTTGCGAGCCGCCTCCGAGCCGGATCCGGCCTGGTTTGGGGTGGCGGGAGGAGGGCGGGCAGCAGGGTGGAGCTGCCCCAAACTGCTCATGTGGCCCCCAATTTGGAGTGCGGAGCGTTAATTTGTTTCTGTTTCGGGTGGGAGGTAGTAAGGCGGTGGGCCCTGTGGGCTCCCGCTGTGGCGCCGAGGGGGGTGAGCCTCCCATTCTGCACGCGTGGGCTAGCGTCCCCTCTCCGTTTCCAGTCTCTTTTGTCAGCTTCTCTTATTACCTTCCCTTCTTTCTCACCACCCCTTAAGATGTGTTTTTGCTGCTGTCTTTATCTGCCTGTTGTTTATATTATAATTTGGGTACCCCCAAACAATTATGATGTTATTTGGTAAGCTGAGCCTGGAGGCCCCCGTGGGGTGTATTACACTTATGGAACGTCACTAGAGTCCTGGCGTATTTGTTCACTCTTCTCATAATGGGACAGGAATTCCAAATGTCTTCAGACCCTTCTTCACTTTGTGGACAGACCCTAAATTGGTTTTCAAACTGCTGTCACAAACAGGAGACAATTCCTTTTCCGCCATTCTTGAAATGTAGCCACCTCTGGTGTAGGATGTAGTGAAAAGAAAAGTACCCCAATAACAGGCGTTTTTGTTGTTATTGTTAACGTTTTTTGCCTTTGACTCTCCCCAATTATTAAATGGAGAAATCCTTTTCGTCTCCTTTCCTTATCCACTCACCACCCCTTATCTGCTCTGGGGATATCTGTTGTGACATGGTGGGAGGTAATGGGGGTCGGTGATAATCAGCCTTACTAGAGAATTAAAACATTCTGTGTATCAGTTGATAAAACTGCTTTGAGATCCTATGCCGTTGTCTTTAAAGATGACTATCCCAATGACTGTTTCCTTTGTGAATGGTAATTATTACAGACACATGAAATCAAAGGCCTAAAAATGTACTGTTTAGTTTTTGATTTTTAAAGCCCTTGCTTGCTAAGTGTGTCTTCACTGGGAAGTATTCTCACTAGAGACGCAGGGTGGTGGGAAAGAGAATGCTAGGGCCATTTCAACAAAGCATCTAGGGAAATTAATTGCTCTGTTAGAGGTAGCTTAATCCTTATCCAACCCAGTCCAGCTTCAGAATTTCTGAATTGTTTCTTAAATTAGATTGTAAGCTCCCTGAGGGCAGCAACTAAGTCATATTGTTTTTGTATTTACTGAAGTATTGGACACATAGTAGATACTCAATAAATACTTGTTATTTATTTTTTTCAGTAAAATTTCTCTGGCTATTTTTTTAAGTAGCTGGTTTTCAAAAAATAGTCAAGTGCACTCTTGTGTTGAAACTCATATTTATTCCTGCACTTTTTCCTTGGTCTCCAATATTTCTCACCCCACTTCTCTTAAATATTTTTATTTTCTAAGAAAATAAGAATGATTCCCACCTCCACTGTGGTAACTCAGGTGTGTGTCTCTGTTAACAAAAGGCTACTAATTCTGTGCCCTCAAGTGATCCATCCTAGATCACTTACTTTTGATCTGTTGCTCAGAGTTATTATGATCTAGGTGGTAAAATTTTCTTGGTCACATTTTTTCAAAGCATTTGTAAGAGGGAAATGTTAATAGCAAGAGTGATCAGGAGTTTTTTTTTTTTTTTTTTTAACCTTTCCTGGTTAATTATGTGTCTTTCAAGATAACTTTCATATATTTATATCTGACTGGCAGTGGGTGTGCAGTCACATAATAGTTAGTCTTGCAGTTTATTTGTGCAGTATAATGCATCCTCACAAATTGATATCACATGTAGAATAGAAAGCAGCGTTTGTAAGTTACAGGGGTGGGTTGGAATGACTACTCCATGTTAAAGACGTTATCTTAGAGCCAATTTACAAACATACTGTAGTTTTCTTCTAGTTAAACTTGATTTTTTTCTTCTTGTTGATTTGGACCCAGGGCAGTTGTTTTTTTGTAAATTAAATGTTGAAACTTGGCTCTAGTGCTAGCCTGGGAAAATGGACTACTGTGTAGCAAATAATTCTGTACTAGCTTGAAATATTTACAGGCCTATGGGTGTACATGTATGTGTGGGGAAGAGGTAATGGTTAAAAATTACCTTCTGAAGTTGCCTTAAAAAAATCTTGGTGATCATTTATAACCTTAAAAAATCTTTCTTTGTGATTGAAAATATACAGCTCTTAATTAATGACCACATCACAAAACAAAGACTTGGTGAAGAATTTATCCCCAGGGAAGTCAGCTTTGTCTGATCCAAGGAATAAGTCAAGTGAAAATCATTTCCCTAATAGTTGATCCTTGAATATTTCTTTAGACGCCTCTTCAATCTCTCCCTTAAATCCAGCAGTGTTTTTTGGGCAGTCTAGAATTTACCCTGTATAAAGTTTCATTAACAATAATTAATAACGAGCAGGAAGTATAAACTTTTCCTCTTTGGAAGGGAATAAAACAATGCAAAGTAACCTCTTATTTTGAGCACTCCATCATATGGTTAATGTCTTCTTTGTTTACTAAATGCAGTAGCTGAGATTGAAATGATGAAGGGAACTTGAATTCAGTAGAATCTTTATTAGAAGTCTTAAAACAAAAACTATGGTCTGGTTTTGGGAAAGCCCTGTGTGCTCTGTGTCTATTTAAAGACTCAACTAAGTCATCTTGCCAGCTTTAATGCCTCAAGTTTAATTGCTAAAACTTTGTGCTAGATGCTTTTGGTTTGAGACAAATTGGGATTCCCTGTATATTAAGGTGAGTAGTGGAGGGTAATTGTAATTCTGGTTTCTTAGAGAGACTTAGGAGATTAAGAGCAGCTATAAAAGTATTGTTTTGGAATTGTTTTCAGGGAACTGATATTCTGGACAAAGTCACTGGGGCTACTATGTCCCCTATAAAGTTTAAAAAAAAAAAATCTTACGCAGAGAGATGAAACTTGAGGCTAGGCTTGAACTTTTCCAAGCAATGGAAGTTGCATGCAATTTATATAAAATGATTGTAAGGCACGTAAGGCTGTGTTTTTTTAAAAATTTTTGTTTTTATTTTTGTAGATTGAATGCAGTATTTTATTTTTTGAATACAGTATTTTAAAGAATTTCTTTGGAGTATAGACTGATTTTCCTGGAAGACTTGTTTTCTTTTTTTTTTGAGACAGAGCCTCAAGCTGTCCCCCTGGGTAGAGTGCTGTGGCATCACAGCTCACAGCAACCTGCAACTCCTGGGCTCAAACAAGTCTCCTGCCTCCACCTCCCAAGAAGCTGGGACCACAGGCGCCCACCACAATGCCTGGCTATTTTTTTGGTTGCAGCCATCATTGTTGTTTGGCAGGCCCGGGCTGGATTCAAACCCACCACCTTAGGTGTATGTGTCTGGCACCTTAGCCACTTGAGCCACAGGCACCGAGCCAGGAAGACTTGTTTATAGGCTTTGCTGATTACCTTTCCTTCTGTCAAAGATACTTCAGATACTTTCACTGACATATACTTTTGATTATCATTGTCTGGCTGTGATTAAGATAGATAAATGCCCTAAAGACTGCTTATAGGGGCTAGTAACTAAACTGCAGTAATTTCTTTTTTCTTTTTTTTTTTTTTTGAGACAGAGTCTCACTTTGTTGCCCTTGGTAGAGTGCGATGGCATCATAGCTCACAGCAACCTCAAACTCTTGGGCCCAAGCAATTCTCTTGCCCCAGCCTCCTGAATAGCTGGGACTACAGGCTGGCGCCCACTGCAATGCCTGGCTATTTTCTTGTTCATGCTGGTCTCAACTAGTGAGCTCTGGCAATCCACTCACCTGGGCCTCCCCAGAGTGCTAGGATTATAGGCGCAAGCCTCCACGCCTGACCTGCAGTAATTTCTTTTAAAAGTATTACCGTTTTTTAAATTCATTTTTTTTTTTTTTTTTTGCCATACAAAATTGGATTAACAGCCATAGTTACTTAAGGAATGTATCCAACTAATTATGTTGCAGAAATAGGTGAATCTTTTTGTTTCTTTGAAGAAGTGAAAGTGGTGGTGAAGGTACTGGTAAAAGATGTTAAAAACAGATTCTGCCCACATTTTAACTCTAAATTTTTTTTTTTTAATTTTTCAGTATTCTACCTTGTAAATACTGTTATTTGTATATACTGTAAATGATGACATCGGTGGGCACTAACCGAGCCCGGGGAAACTGGGAACAACCTCAAAACCAAAACCAGACACAGCACAAGCAGCGGCCACAGGTAAAGAACCTGAGGGATGTGGATCTGTGTAGCTGGTTGATAACTGGTTTCCATGCAGTGCAACATCATTCATTGCTTTGGATTGTTGGTTTAGGTTCTTTATTCCTGTTTTCTAGTCCATGCCTCTTTTTAACTTAGGGCCTGATAACTGTTTTGAGATGCTGTAATGCGAAGTACTTTTTTATTGTTGAATACTTCATTATGAGGCTTAGTGCTTTATTATGGGTCTTGTGTTTTGTATCTTTAAGGTGCCATTTCTTTCTTTTCATCTGAGCAGTTTTACAATGCATTTTTTATTTACTAGATCTTTTACTTTGACATTTCCAGCCAACCTTTGTCTTGATGCCTTTCCCTTTCCAGATTTTATCTTTTGCACTTTTCCCTGACAATGTTTTTTATCTTCCTCTCTGGTCTCATTGAGGCCTTAACCTGATTTTTCCTTTTCCCTGAGAAGTTGGCATCTTCATTGTGCTCCTTCAAAATTAAATGAGATACTTTAGAGTTTTGCTCAGTTTTAAACTTGAAGGAGTAAATTAACTTGGGAATTAAGTTTGGTTATGATGTGATCTGTTTCCCTTAACCAGTTTGGTATTGGTTGGTACCCAGTATGAGTGAATTGATGTTTGACTACGGTTTGATAAATTGAATTGTAAGACTAAAACTTCTCCTTTGTACATTTTTCTTTCACTTTTATTTCCAAACGAATTTCTAGCAGAATATTAGTACATAATTGGGCTAGGAAAATTCCTCTAGTCTTGCTAATATATACTGGATACTCAGAAGATAGGATGTTTATGGTCATACTAAATCTGTGGTATTCTCAGCTCTAGGAATAAGAGGGTGACATTGGTAATTGTAGAAATAGGAACAGAGTTACATGACTTTGTAAATACATAAATGGGAATGAAGGACAGATGTTTGAAAGTAGTGTTGTGATTCTAAGATGAAAGTGCCTTTTTTTTTTTTTTTTTTTATAGACAGGGTCTCAAGCTGTCGCCCTGGGTAGAGTGCCATTGCATCACAGCTCACAGCAACCTCTAGATCTTGGGCTTAAGCGATTCTCTTGCTTCATTCAGCCTCCCAAGTAGCTGGAACTACAGGCGTCCGCCACAATACTCAGCTGTTGTTTAGCTGGCCCAGGCCAGGCTCAAACCTGCCAGCTTTAGTGTATGTGGCTGGCACCGTAGTCACTGCTATGGGTGCCAGGCCAGAAGTCCCTGTTTTTTAAGACAAAAGTCTGACTCCATCACCCTGGGTAGAGTGCTGTGGTATCATAGCACACAGCACCCTTAAACTGTTAGGCTCAAAAGATCCTCTTGCTTCAGCCTTCCTAGTGAGTTTTTCTGTTTTTAGTAGAGACGGGGTCTAACTCTTGCTCAGGCTGTTCTCAAACTCCTGAGTTGTTTTTTTTTTTTTTTTTGAGACAGAGCCTCAAGCTGTTGCCCTGGGTAGAGTGCTGTGCCATCACAGCTCATAGCAATCTCCAACTCCTGGGCTTAAGCCATTCTCTTGCCTCAGCCTCCCAATTAGCTGGGACTACAGGCGCCTGCCACAATGCCTGGCTATTTTTTGCTTGCAGCCGTCATCGTTGTTTGGTGGGCCTACGCTGGACTCAGGTCTTAGCTTCTTGAGCCATAGGCCCTGAGCCTCATACTCCTGAGTTTAATCAATCCACTCTCCTACCCCTGGCCTCTCAGAGTTGAAGGGATATTGGAGCATGAGATACTATGCCTGAAAGTCCCTTCAACTATGAACATTAGTAAAGGATTTCCTGCTTTTTTTGAAGTATAGAGTGAAATAGTAACAGCTTCACTGTTTTTTTTGCCTTTATTTATTATTGATTTAAACACCTTAAATGGGCTCAATGCCCATAGTACAGTGGTTATGGCATTGGCCATATACACTGAGGTTGGTGGGTTCAAATCTGGCCCTGGCTGGCTAAATAACAATGACAACTGCAGTAAAAAAAATAGCCAGGCATTGTGGCGGG